TATAGTAGGGTTTACTAAGGGCAACTGAGCTGGGTCATGGTGAAATAAACAAAGGGGATGAGTGCCGTGTTGGTCAATACGTTGAAGGGTGGCACTGGGTACCAACAGGCCGGTGAGACGAACGGGCATGAAAGGGGAGTTCAAATTACAAACTGGGCGGGTATGTTAGAATCTGGGTGACTCACCCAATTCTGGCATGACCCTTGGACTGCCTTGAACATGGGGTATATAAACAGAAACACGGGAACACTTCTGTAATCGAAAGTTGCCGTCAAGCTCGTTTCCGACTGGACCCCGACTCGAACGGGTAAACGGGCCAAGTCCCGTCCAACCACAAAGGGCGTTCGCCCCTTACACTAAGGGTCACGTCTAAAATAGCCACTCCCACTTGCCGCCAAACTTCCCGCCAAACCCAAGGGCCAGCTTGACCAGTTCCCTTGGCTGCGCCCAAAGTACAAGGTTCAACCCAACCGCCCTTGGATCCATCGGGCATAACTGACCCCGAGTGTAGGGGGTGACACAAACCGGTCGGAGGATAGCCCCAAATTGTCCAAGAGGCGGAACGGTCCGAACTGGCCGTTGCGCGCCCTCCCAATCGTCGCCCTTCGCAGAAACTCATTAACATGGTAATTAATTATATGATCCACGCTGTAGTTTATCTCAAAGCGTGTGCAGGAAGCAGGCAATTGACACCCTGTTATAGTTGAGTGGCTCGGGGATGAGAGGCTTTCGATGGCAAGCAAACAGCGAAACAAAATTGGAGTAGGCATTATTGATACGGGGCCGAAGGCCCCTCATGCGCGGATAGGGAATGAGAACGGGAGAACAATGCTCCCGAGTGGTCTTACATTAAGTACATGATACAACAATCAATTGAATCGTTCCATTGTCCATACAACCACACATTCATCATCTTTGACCACTCAGAAGGTCCACAACACAATCAAATATCATCAAAAGTCATCTAATCTATACACTGTATCATTTCTCCCCCCCCACAAAGTGTGGACGTCCTCGGCCACGGAGACACACCATGCTAGAAGACCGGCCGGACAGAAGATACGGGGTACCAAACAAAATTCTCACAAAGATCAAGTCTATTGTGTCCCATACCACAACTCAATCTAAAATGGAAACTTGCTATCAGTGACTGTTCTCCAGTCCGCCACCCAGTCCATCACTTCTGACTCTCAGTTAGTCCGATCCAATGCACAATGTCTTGTCGAATGACCCAGAATGTAATTTCCTCAAAGATCTAGATAGTCATTCAAAAAATGGCCTCTATCGTCCTAGTGGCTTCATGCAACTATGTTCCCACTTAAGCCACCGTGCACTACCTGACCATTAACTCTCTTGTGGTTGGGGTTGAAGATACAATGGGCCCACCATTCACTGCACGCAACTTCACCAGGCTACCAGCAGTAAAAGTATGATGGACATGCCAATACAATGGCTCTAAGGCAACTGGAGAATAAACTCAACCACCTTAAAAGACCTCAACAATGTGCTGAATCCTCCTAGCATCAACCGTTGGCAGTTGCCACCACTCCATGACTCTCCATCAGATACTTCTACATCTGCAAGCTCTGATCTCAGAAGTGCCTCAGTGCAGTCTCCACTATCAACGTACTCCACAACTGCGTGCTGTTAACAACTATCTACTGGTATGTCCTCAATCATGACTACCACAAAAAGAATAATAATAATAATCACCATCACAACTGATCATGTTGGCTGCTGCCCTATGTACACAGCATACTGATAAGGGCACAATCAGTATTCATGATCAGAACAGCACCTCATTGAGCACCACCAGCTCCATCACGCTCTGCAGTGTGAGTATTCTGCGAACTACCTAGGTGAGAGACCTCTGGATTCACAAATCAACATGCAAACCCACCATCACAACACCACCGAGCGTGTCCCACCTCTCCCAAGGATCTTCTGCATCCAACGGCCTATCTGGGGATAGTACAACACTGAATGACATTAGGGCGAATCCCTCAGCCCTGCTCCCTGCACAACCTCTTTGCACTACCACCATGGCCACGGTTCCCCTAATGGTTTCCCGGGTTTTATTCTTCCAACTCCAACTTACACTGATCCACAGGATTTTAAGACCACAACACAGTCTTTTAAGAAACCTATTCCCCACAATGAAGATTAGTACAGCAGGCTTGAGAACGATTTCTGGCACATTTTTCTATTCTCCATAATCTAGAGAAACTTGCACCTTTATCTGTTAATGCTTCTGGAAGGGTTGATTCAATGGCTCTGGTCTTGATCTTGGTCGGTGCCTGAAGGTCGCTCCACCGGTCCCCGGTGCCCTAAGGCTACCGACGACCTCGCCTGTAGAGACACTCCACTATTGCTCCTGAGAGTGTAGAATCGCTGTCCACTGGCTAGGGTTTTTTTATGTACCCTTGAGCCACTCTTTAGAGGTCGGCGATAGAATTGGAAACAATGAAGGAATTTAACCTATCCTCCTTTGTCTTCCTTTTTCTCCTCTTTAGGGTCTCCCTTTTTCCTTCTTAGGGGCCAGTACATAAGCACCCCGGGTTGGCCTCCAATAGCACCCCTCTGGGGCACAGGCTCTGTCCGTTGGATTGCAGCTCCTGGCCAGGGAGCTGTTCACCTCTCCCGGTTCGCTCAATGTACTGGGGCCTCCTGCTGTCGGGATTGTCACGTGACACGCCCTCCAGGCGCGGGATTGTCACATGACCGGGCGGTCAGGTTGACTCACCCAGCTTCCCTCAGCTCCGTCCCCCTCCCGGCAGCTCCAGTTTGCCGGGGGTCACTCTCCGCGCCTCCACCGACCTCGGCGCTCCCTCGCGCGCCGTGGCGTCTCACTCTCGAGCAAAGGCGGGCCAAGGGCGCCCTACTCGCCGGCCCGGATCCGCCCGTCGCGTTGGATTCGCCGCGCAATCCCGCGGCGTCGATGCATCGCCGGGGCCCGCGGAATGGTGCCCGGAACCGGCCTCCATGGCCCGGCTTCCGCGGCACGGACCGCGCAGGCCGCTCGCCGGTGCGGCACCCCTTTCTTCTCGTTTGCTAGGCGCGCCGCCTCTCACCGGTGTGGGCAAGCTCGCCATCGCCGATCCGCACAGCAATTCGGCGTCCATGCCGCGGGTCGCATCCAACTGGACGGGATCCGCCTCCCGCCGGCCGCAAGCATGCCTCGAATGGGCGCTCCCCCCGTTGCCGCCGCGATGGGCCGTCCTTGGCGCCTCTCCCTGGGCGCCTTGGCCTTGCAATTGCGCCCATCTCCAACAATCCGGGCGGCCTCCTTGAAAAGCATGTCGCCATGCCGGCCACCTTGGAGACCGGCCACTCCGCGAGCATTCCGGCCGCAGGCAACCCGCCAGATGGCGCATCCCCCGCCACCAACTCGACGGGCCTTTCCCTGCTGCCCGTTCTAGGCGTTCAGGCCGCACGAATGCGCCCATCCAAGCCTTGCCAAAACGGCATGCTTGCAAGGCAGTGCCGCAACTCACTTGGTGCCTCTCTCCGCGTTCCATGCCCAGTTTTGGGATTGCTCTCGCCTTGCATCCGCACAGCTGCATCTCCAGACGAATCGTTCTGTTCTCTGAGACCTTCCAACACCAAGCTCTCGTCCTCCAAACACCACAGCACAGCCAGCACAACTTGTTTGCCAGGTTCCCTGTGGCCCCACACTTGCATCGCCGGCATCACACTCCCAGCTCTCCGAACCGTGGACCACAATTCCGCGCCACGCCAATGCAGAAGTTCCCGCGGAACGTCCCCGGCTCCTTGCAGCTCAGACAGCATCACTCGTTTTGCCGCAGCACCGTGCTGTTGCTCGGATGCCTCGCTCACTCCACGGAGTGTAGCATCCTTGTGCTGTCTGGTCGTTTGTGCCTCTTCAGCAGCGGCAATTCGTGCCGTTTGCCACGCAGCCTTGTTGACAGTCCTCCTTGCCTTCCGCAGCACCAATCTTTTTGGCTGCTCGTCTTCTGTGCCGTATGCCATCGTCCTCACACCTCCGCCGTTTCCATTCTCCTTCGTCGGGCTGGATCAGACCCAGTTCTCCACCGAATCAAGCCGGGATTCCTCCACCGGCTTCCCGTCGACCTGGGAGTACCGTTGCGCTGCCATCCCTCGGGGTTGCTCTCCTCTCCCCGCCGTCGAAGCGGTTCTTGCTACGAAACCAAATGATACGGGGCCGAAGGCCCCTCATGCGCGGATAGGGAATGAGAATGGGAGAACAATGCTCCCGAGTGGTCTTACATTAAGTACATGATACAACAATCAATTGAATCGTTCCATTGTCCATACAACCACACATTCATCATCTTTGACCACTCAGAAGGTCCACAACACAATCAAATATCATCAAAAGTCATCTAATCTATACACTGTATCAATTATAACTATTGCCCGGACACGGGTACTGACTAATTGACACTCCGTGAAGCTTGCAATGATCCATGCTGCAGTTGAGCTCAAAGCGTGCGAAGGAGGCATGCAATCGACACTCTGATACGGTTGAGTGGTCCGAGGATGAGGGGTTTTTGATGACATAGTCACTGCTGCAAAGGTCCTAGGTGAAGATGATGTGGATTAACCAGACGTCGATACTGACGGTTTTAATTTACATGTTGTAGAGATTGTACTTGTGAACATTCGCATATTCTTAAACGTATTGTTAGGTTAAGAGACAGAGAACTTCGGTTCGTTGGGGAATGGTGAGCGTGTGAGAGATTTAGGGCACACTCACGCTTTAGTAAGGCTTAACGCACTATGAAGCAAATGAACGCGTGTGAGTTTGCAACCTCGGTTTGTGGTTGACAGGTATCGATTTTCTATACATTTGTGTACGAGTCTTGTCATATGACGGGGTACTAGGGGGTACACGGAGGTACACGGAGGTACACGGAGGTACACGGAGGTACACGGAGGTACACGGGGTAGTAGTGTCCAGAACAACCGCGAAGGCAGAAAACCCCGCTGTTGACCTCCCGGGCTGCCGCCTGTGCCAAATGTCCACAACATCCGCAGCGCGTGTTCTGGAGAAGTTGGGTGAGGCGGCCTTGAAGCGCTTCCGAGTGGACGGCAAGTGGAAGAAGGCGCCTCTGTCTGCGCGCCAGATCGCCAAGCTCAGGAAGGAGTGCCTGCTCCTGGGCGGGTGGGTGATGCCTAATGCCCCCCCCCCCTACGGCGTTCCGAGGGGACTGCCAGCCCGGGTACCTTTGCCGCCCCTTCGCTGGGTCTCAGAGAACCTGATCGCGCTGCATAGGGATGTTGATAGCGATAGAACGCGTGCGAGGCGGGTTGGGGTGGGGTGGGGGTGGGGGGTGGCTGGATCTGTCAGCACCGATTCCTTGCCCTTCGGACCGAGCCCGCTGCTGGGTGTTGATTTTTCAGGCGGCGGCGCGCCACGGCTTTACACGCTGCCGCACGTCAGACTCTCTTTGCGACGTTGTGTCCGTTGCTGCGGAAGAAGCTGACGACCGCACCGCAGACGACCACGCGGTTAACGTTGTTTCATTCCCTGCTGTTTTGTGGCATTGGTTGTTTCCGCATTTTGTGGCTCCCCGGCAAAGGCCTCCCGCGTCGAGTGGTATTCACCACCCGGTGCTTGTGAGAATTGCACGTCGGACATGGACGGCATGCGTCCAAGATGACTGGTTGGGATGTAAGGAGCGTTGTGGGCTTCGAGCATTGGGGCATATGAACCAACCTAGCTTGTTGGGACAGGGAGTGGCCTTACGAACACGTGTGGCCCGGCACCAAGAAGCCTGTGTCGCAAAAGAAGCCTAAGGGACACAAATGGGAAGCAGAGAAGGTGGAAAGGTGGGTTTGCTGCCTTTTACCTGGCTCTCTGCCAGACTCTTCGCCACGTTGAACACAGAAAGGGTGTGCAGCTGCCCAATTCCCCGCGTGTGTTTCTTTTGTGTGAACTAGCAGTTGACAGTCTTGTGAATCCTTTTCCAGGCAGAAGAAAATTGAAGAGAATATGAAACAGATGCCCAAGAGGATAGCAGAGTACAAGGTGTGGAACGCATTGAAAATCTTGAGTATGCTGGTGGCCCAGTTGGCCGCCTGTCTTGAACAGATTGTCCTCCACAGGCTGTTTGCTTGACTTGAGCGCTCTTGGTTTATATTTGAGTGGGGATACTGTCCAGTCTTTGCTGCCTGTAGGGGCCATCCAGGAAGGTTCTATGGCTGGCCCACTGCTGCTTGGATTGGGTTGCCCTCAAATGCAGCAAGATCTGTATTCAAGACACCTTGGGTTGCCCAGGAAAGGGAGGTCATAAAGCCATGTGATGTGCCTTGCAACTGCTGCTGGGCTTTCTCCACTGCAATGGCTAGAGCATGGCACAGGTTTATTGAAGATGTACTGCCTGGCGTTGTTTCATAAAATCAAATGCAAGTATGTTTGCCACACTTAACAACAGCATGATCCATATTAGGAAGAAGTGAAAACCAACAGAAGGCCTGCACATTGGCCTGCTGCCATTCTCAGTTGTACTCCCAAATTGCGCATTCATTGACAGCCACCTGATTCAGAAACTAGCCTTGCACCTGTTGGACTGGGAATGATGTGATTGCATTGTTGTGCCTAACTCACATGCCCCCTGTTTAATTTGGCAGGAGTCGCTGAAATTGAAGAACGTGTCACTTTTAGACCAGCTGACTTTGATGCCAAAGCAGATCCGCCAAAAGTACAGGGGCAAGTAAATTGCACGGCGATCGCTTACAGTGCTGGCATCCAGGCCCTGCTCAGGTGTTTCCTGTCATCAAGGGACGCTGCAGCACAGGAGCGACATACTGTGGCAGCATGGCTGCTGCCAGTGCTGAAAATGGGGCCAATGGGCCCACGTCGATGGACGCTGTTCTTTTGGGGTTGGGTGCTCGGCTGCACCTGGATCGTGTGAAGGCACAGGAACAGCTCAGCAGGGGCTTGGATACTGAGAGCTGGGCGGACGATCCCAAAACTCAAGCTGCACTGGTGGAGGCAGTGCGAAAATTGATGCAGTCGGAGACCCCTGAGTGTCGCTTGGGCGGCCTGCAAGCTGCTGGGCTCCTCCTGCCCTACGTTGCCCCCTCAGAGTTTGATGACTTCGTGCTGAGCGGCTGCTGGGACATGCTGGAGGACCCTGAGGTCCGCATCCGCTTGGCGGTGGGCGACTGCCTTGGGGCGTTGGTGAAGAAGGCTGGTGTCTCTGTTTATAACAGAATCGGCTCTGTCATTGTGAAGAGCATCCGGGACCACCTCGACAGGGAGAATGAGGGAGGGGAGGAGGGCGTCGACGATCGTGGCCTGTGTTCGCCCAGGTTTGGATTCAACTTGGATGGGGGCAACCAGCCAGGAACGGGGTCGTTTAGGCATGACACGGAAGGCTGGAAGTGCCTGGAGACATCCTTCAAAGCGCTGCAGAAGGTCATGGGTGGGTGCGGCCGTTCGTTCGCACCCCTTATGACACCAGACTTGAGGGATCTCCTGTACTTGGGCCTGGGGCACTTCAACCGCTTTGTGCGCGAGACTGGGTTCCTCTGCCTGGGCACGATGTGCGAGATGCTTGGCCCTGAGGGGCTGGGGGACATAAAGAGCGAGGTGGCACAAAAACTGGCGAAAGGGCTTGCGGACAATTGGAGCCAGGTCAGGTACGCAGCCTCGATCGCTACCAGAACATTCCTGGAGGTGCTGGGCTCCAGGAGAGAAGAGGTGTATGCAGACATCCTCCCGCAGATGTGCCTGAATCGGTACTACGTCGCTGAGGGGGTGAAGCTGTACTCCCAGCAGACATGGCGCCTCATGGTGTCCGACCATGGCCGCGAGTGGGTGCAGAGGCTCATGCCGCACTTCGTGGACTACTACATCCGCCAGTGTGGCGCCAACAACCATGCGGTGAGGGAGGCGGCATGTGCCTGCATCGCAGAGCTAATGATGAAGATTGGCAGGGAGGCTGTGGGGCCCTATGTGCCAAGGCTGCTGCTGGCCCTGGTAGACTGCTTTAAAGATGCAAGCTGGCCTGTTAGGGACGCTGCCTGCACAGCATGTGGGAACTGTGTATCAGTGTTCCCTGAAGAATCTAGGGTGGTTTTAGATGAGCTGTATGACCTGTGGTTCGCCCACCTGTGGGACAACATTGGCTCTGTGCGAGAGAATACAGCCATCGCACTGGGGAAGGCGGTGCAGGCATATGGGGAGGAGGCTCTCTCGCGGCTGTTGCCCGTCTTGAAGGAGCGGCTGGCAAAGGCCAAGGAGCAGCCAGAGCACTCCAGCCAGTTCTCTGACCTGGAGAACACAACAACGTTTGGTGTGGCAGGACGGCGGGTACCGGACGCCCACGTCACCGATCAGCAGATGTTCTCATGTGGCTCGCTGGCACCGAAGCTGGCGAGGGGAGGTGGTTGCATGGATCATGGCTTCAAACGGGAAAAGCAGCCATGGGAAGCATCAGACGGGGCTGTGTACCTTGTCCGGGAGCTGTCAGCCGTGGTGCCATCCACTGCGGCGGAGTGCATGCCAGCTCTGGCAGATCTGTCCAGGCTGGGGGGCTTCATGCACTGCGCTCATCTGCATGAGACAGTGTGGAAGGCTGTGCCCACGATTGCTGCAAACATGGGCAAGCGCGCTTTCAAGCCGCACCTGGCTGACCTGCTGGACAGCATGTTCCTGTCACTGAAAGCTGACAACCAGCTGGAAGCAGTTGCTGCTGGGGAAGCCATCGGGGCAGTGCGGGACATGCTGGGGCCTAACATCTTCCGGGGCAGGCTGACAGACGAGCAGTGCCAAATGCTGGACACCAACCACAATGTGCCCCCCGCTGGCACTCGCAGCAATCTGGCTGCCAGACGCAACCCTGCCCCTGTGCACTGACGGCCACCTGAGATCGGATAGAGTGGGCAGTCAGTTATCCAGCTGCTACCCTCAGTGACTTATTTGGTGGCTGTACCTGCAGGTCTAGGATTTGCGCCCACATCGGGGATAGGTGGGGACAGTCACTTGTTCATTCCTATGGGTCATGTTTTCAGGGAGGGGGGGAGGCGGCAGATTGCATTGTGCAGTGTGCTTCCCAGCCGGGTTGGTGCGGTTTCCTTGATCGATTTGGCCTGCCTTTCCACATGCAGCTCATTGGCCTCATGGAGCTAACCTGTGACGAACATCTTCTCAAGCACGTTAAGAGTGAACACGAGCATCCATTGTCTGTCAGTCGATGCAGGCTCGTTCCCACACCTGGCAGCTGGAGAAGAACCCCATCTGGGATTCTCTGGTGTCTCTATGGCACACCAACTGAACTGGCCCAATTCACAATGTTCATGCACACACCCACACCCAGGATTGAAACTCGCTGCCAGTCTGATGATGGCTGGACGGATCCAAGCGTAGCTTCCAACGTTCGGCACCAGTGCTCCTCTGTATAGTGTGCGATTGGTCCGTGTAAAAACAGTGGCGGCGTCGTGACAGGTTCTGGCCAGCGATTGTGGCTGTGAATCGTTGCTTTTTTCCACAGGGAGCCAGTCAGCAGATTAATCGATCGGTGATGGCAAGCTTGGGGACAGCCCTGGACGATGTTTTGGAAGCATCCGTGGATTAATGCTCAAGGTTTTTGGGAAACAAGCCAGAGGCTGTTTGGGACCTCCTCTTAGGTTTTCCCGCAGCTGTGCGAAATCTTGGCGTCACAGCTGTGCACCCTGCTACCCTTACTCGGCGACAGTTCGACGTTGAGCGCTTCACACCAGACACAGTGTCACCCCCAGGCTACTTGAACATATGCATCTCTGTTGATCCCCTCACACTTCCCATGTCTGAAAAAGCCCCTCACCTTGTTCAGGAGGGTGGTGCCATTGCAGCACATGCATCTTCATATTCTACGAGCGAAGTAACTCCATCTGCACACCAGCCCAATCGGGTGGGCGTCACCTTGCGGGCGACAATCCAGCCAAATTACCGCAGCCGAATCGAATTCAACGCGCCCCCTTCTCCTTTCAAAGCACTGGGAGCGGGCCAGGACGCCGAAACCTTCGCGCCGCCCCATCGGTCGTCCCTCGGGGCCGCCAGGCGGACGCCCAGCGCCGCCCACGGCCCGACGTGCCCAGCCGAGGCGCCCACCCCCCTGCGCGCCACACCCCAACCCCTGCGGGAGGGATTCCCCATCAGGCGCCTGCCCACAGCCCCCTCGCAGCTTCCACACCCCGGGATCCCAACTGCCCGTTCCCCCAGCAGCGGGGCCTAAAGTCACGTACCTGGGGACTGCGGCGAGAGGAAGGCACCCGGGCGGGGGACGTCGGAATCGGCGGGCTGCAGCCGGCATGGCCGCCAGGGTGCCAGACGGGGCCCCGGCGCCCATCGGCGGCGAGGACTCGATCCAGATCCTCACCCTGGACGACATCCTTCGGGGCCGGGCGGGGGAGTCTGAGTGCGCCTGCGCCCACCGCTGGCTCCGCGAGCGGCTGGCGGGATCCCCCGGCGCGGTCGTCCCTGGGCCCCCGGGCCCTGCGCTGGTCGCGACCGACCGAACGGGGTTCGACATGCGCGTGGGCGCGCGGCGGAGGCGGTGGCGGTGGGAGGATCCGGCGCTGGATCGCGAGGCGTCGGTCGGGGAGGCGATCGGGGAGGGGGTGGGCAGGCGGGGCCGGGGGCGAGGGAGAAGGGAGGGCGGCGGGATGCGGGGCAGGGGCAGGGGGAGGGGCAGAGGGAGGCGAAAACGGCCGGCATCCGAATCTGGATCCCCCGGGGAGGTCGAGGATGCCGGCGCCAGGCGCGGGGGGCGGCGGCCCAGACGGGGCGGGATGGGCGAGGATCGATCCGTGGGAGATGCGTCGCGGGGGATGAGCGAGTCAGGGTCGGAGGAGAGCGCGCATCGGCGGAGGCCTCGGTCGGCCAGCACGGGGAGCGTGCCGGAGGGGTGGCGCGTGGTGGAGAAGCGGCGCGAGGGCGGCTCGCGGGAAGGCCAGGTGGACAGGTACTACTACTCGCCCAGCGGCCGGCTGTTCCGGTCGTACGTGAGCGCGCGGCAGTGCTGGGAGGCGGGCGGCGGGGGCGGGGAGGAGGGCAAGGGGGGGGGTTGCCCCGCGGCGGGGGGGATGGCGGGGACGGAGGCGCCGCAGACGCCCGGGGGAAAGGCGGGGACCGGCCCGGCGGAGGCGCCTGGGGAGGGCCGCGTGGCCGCGCTGCAGCCGTCCAACGCGTCGTGACGAGTTGGGACCGCTGTGTGGCTTGGGAGGGGATGACGGAGGAGGGGAATGCGACCCTGGTCATGCCGGCGATGAAGCGGGAGGCGGTGCCTGCGCTTCGACCCCCGTTTGAAGAGAGCTGAGGGGCCGGAGGACGGGCCGGGGACTGGCATGGAGGAGCGATGCCTCGCCCGGCTGCACAGGCACCGGAGTCATTCATCGCCGGCCTGTGCACGCGGGACGCTCTGGCAGTGCACGCGCCAGGAGGGCTGCACAGCTGCCCACAATCCAACTGGAGGTGATCGACCTCGTGGTGGGCGTGAGGTGTGTTGTGGTGCTCAAAGTATGGATGCAACCCACCAGTGAAATCCAAATGGTGTGTGGAGGTGAGAGTGTCAGGAAAGGGTCGGCAGGGTTGGGTGCAGCTGTGCCTACTCGTACTGGGGAGCCTGGAGGAGAGATTTTGCACAACAGTCCGACATTCAGAAGGCGCAGCATTTTCTGCTTGAAGGCAACTCGTTCTTGGTAGGGTTAGGGATGGGGTTGTTGGGACAGCTTGGCACCACAGCATCGGGTATGTATGTTGTGCTGCTTGTAGCAATGGACCTTAGAGAGGTCTGCACATGCTCATGCACCAGTTAGGGTGGAACAGACAAGGTGCAGCAGGGCAAGCTGCACAAATCCAAGTCATTTATCAGCCATAAACAGAGTGCACAAACACCACTGGAGTTTCTTTGGATGCAAGGGCCTGAATGGCAACAGCTGGTCATGCTGCAACACTTGCAACCAAACACAGCCAAAGCTCATTGCTGATGGGCTTGCAGGTTTGAATTCAGTCGCACTCTTGTTGACGGTGGCCCAGCAGTGCTGACAAGTGCTGATAGGCCTGCTGCATTCTTTTTGGGAGGGGGCTCCAATCTATGACACCACCCCCCGAACGCCTGCAAACCTCCATGCAATGTCTCCACACATCTGCATTGGCAGCACAATCATCTCTGATCCATTCTAGTCCGATCTGATGCGTTCATAACCTGTTTTATGATCGACGGTAAGGGCAAGTCCACCCTTTAGAGGAGGATTCCCCACTGCTGCGCCCAGTCCCTCCTGTGGTAAACAATCACAATCACTGCCAACACTGAGTGTGACTGTACTCCCTTTTCTGCATCCCTCCACTTGGTGCACTGAGCGTGGTCCAAAGAACGCCACAGATCTTGGCCTTGGAGCAACGCTCTGTCCTCAGGCAAGTGTAGCACTAGTGCAGCGCACTGACAAAACGGGCAGCTACACATCTGGAGAGTGCTTTGTTCAGTCTGGATGCTCTGTGTTGCCAGCAGGCAAGCGCTGGCAAAAGTAGGTACTAAAACACTGGGAATAAACACAATTGGATCCCATATGAGAAGAAACGCCGGTCTCCTCGGCTGGCAAACTATCCCTTTTTCCCCACAGTTTCTAACCAGGTTCATGGTGCCAGCTCCAAGGTACCTAGGCTCTTACAGGTTTCCTGTAGTGTTGAATTGCTGGAAATTGCCTGTGAATGACTTTGCTCATAAACTTTGGGGGTTTGGCACGAGTGCGATTCTGTTGTTCTCAGCATCAAATTGATGCTGGATTTTGTGGGGCGCAGACCCCTGATGCTAAGGACCTACACGAGCCAAAATCGCCCCTAATTAGCCCAGAGCACTCCAGCCAGCGTTTAGCCTGCTGTTGACGTTGCCAGATGAGAACAAGGAACTTGCGTTGTGGCATTTACAGGGCTTACACAATGGCGCTCGAGCCGTGTTGGCGACTGGTGCAGTTTGTTGACCTGGTTCACCCCGTTTGCCTAGCCAGGAGATCAATCTGGAATGAGTTCCAATTCCAGGGTTCCGATCTTTACCCACCCAGAAAGGGGCTATGGTGGGGGTTATTGGCATTCCAATTGTTTCGTCAGCAGTTCCTAAAATGGCAGGGGATTTGAGCACAGTGTGTCAATCTGACGTTGGGCGTGACAGAATCGCCCTGATGCCCTATCTCCGATCAGTTCATGGACAACACAGCGCCATTAAACCTGCTTAGCTGTGCGAAAATAGAGCTTCCCCAGCCAGGAGGGCCAGCTGCTGCTTGTAAATTTCACCATACTCCAAAGAGGTGAAGGCACAGAGAACGCAAGAGCAGTGGAAAATGCCGTCTTTCGGGTGTTGCACAACTCCCAGGCCTGGTTCGGGGCCATATCTGGGCGCACATTGTTTTTGGTGAGGCGGCCACGCTTCTATGCCATGAAAGATATTCGAAGTCAAGCTGTGCTGGTCTGTGCCCATATGTCCACCAATTCCGTTAGTAAGTATCGCATCTACTACTTGCAAGTTTTGGGGGGCCAAGTCTGGCAGGGGCAGTAGTTCGGACAAAACAGCTGTTGGAATTGTTTCGTACGACCTCGTGCTCCCGCTAGAGCTAGAGGGCAGAGTGCGCGTGTCGTCGTTCACACGTGTGTGAACATATCACACAAGTTGAGCACGAAATTTTCTGACGCGGAATGACCGTGGACTGGTGTTTTAATCTTTCCTGTTCGCCCTAATTTACATGTTGGTTGCACGCCTTGTGCAGAGTCATATGCGCGTCACGGGCGTGCAATCAACCACCACTGGGGCACTCTTGAGCACTTTACTGATGCGGGCCAAGTTCCTATTCGCCGATGTGTTGGAGACAATTTTATTATCCGGGTCCATTTGCTGGATGGCGCAATTTGGTGTGAGCGCGTTTGAGTGTCGTCAGCGTGTCACCGTGAAACCTCTGTTGGCACCGCTGACACGTCATCATTTTGGTTAGTGAATTGCGGAAATGCGCAACAGCCGCGAAAAGCAAAAAGACACCAAAAGGAAGCGAGGTGGGCGATCGGCAAAATGCGCAGGCTGGCGTACTGCCTTCCTTTTCCTGTATCAGGGTAAGAGAGGGTCGGGGCGACAGGCCGCCTGACGTTTTTGGATTTACCGAACGTGCTACCTTCGATAGATCGATGCATCAGGGCTGTCGCACATTGAGCCGACCGGAAGTCCCCTCCCAATTGCGCCACCATCGCCTGAATTTAAGTTTGATTCCCCAGCAACCCAGACCGCGTCCCTCCCGCCACGCCCGCTTGCCGCCGTCAGCGAAGTTGGCCCAAACGCCGGGCCCCAAGCACCAAGGGCATCCAGCCAATGCGCGGCGGCCGGCGCCATGCCTCACAACCCCGGACATTGCTGACTGTTCACGCGCTTCGCCGCCGCGCACAG